TCTCTCTCTCTCTCTCTCTCTCTCTCTCTCTCTCTCTCTCTCTCTCTCTCTCTCTCTCTCTCTCTATCTATCTATCTATCTATCTATCTATCTATCTATCTGCCTGCCCATGTTGGTGCAAGCGTTTGATTATATCATATCACAGTGTCCGTGACTGACCTGAAAGGAACATGATGGAGGCCGCTTGGTTTTCTGCCTAGAAGGTACCTTGGGTTGTGGATGAGCTGCAAGCGAGCGAAGATATTGCGGCCGCTGCAGATGATGCACTTTACAGTGCACGGTTCCGGTCAGTGCCAGTCAACAAGGGTTCTTGTATGGTGGTTTAAATTATTTAACATCAAGATGTCTCCAGCTGCCCTGAAGGGAATATGACAGAGGCTGCTTGGTTCTCTACCAAGAAGAAGGTATTGTCGTTGATGAGCTCCAAGTGGGCCAAGACCTTGTTGCTGATGCGTTTGGCACGCGCAGTTCCCGTCTGTGCTAACTCAACTAAGGGTCCTCGAACTGCCCGTCCATGGTCCCTTACGCAATCTTTGTCCCGGAACATCCGCTCCAACACCCACACAGCCTTCTCCTTTAGCACAGGTGAGCCTCTCATTACTAGCCCCAAAAGCATGGAGACACACCCATTCGTGCGAGCCAGAAGCCGTCCACCCTCCCTGATTGTAGGGAGTTCAATCACCAGGGTTGCAAGTGCTCGAAGTGCTGCCATCGCCACCACATCGTCTTCCATATCCTTTGCAATCACATTAATAAGCAGAGGCACTGCACCGGATTGAACCAAACACAACGTCGTTTCAACGCTGCACAACCCTGAGTGAATGTCACAGTTCACAGGATTGTCTTGAACATCCGCTTCTCCTCGAAGGCACCATCTCCATGTATCGAACAATGCCAGAGGGAATCTTGCTGCCGGCTTTCTTTTTCTTCTTGGCCTCGCTCGAGGCGTGTTCAGCAGCGTGAGCGTGTTTTGCGACATGTTGCCAAGAACTGTCGCTGCCGCAATCTTTCCTACGCGTGTCCCCGTCCGCAGCATCGAGACTAGTGTGGGGAACACTCCCATGGCTGCCACTCTCACTTGGAGATCTACATTGTCTCCACCTATCATCACAGAAAGCACCTGAACGGCCCATTCCCTTAGATCTTCATTTCCCTCTGCATGAGTTGCCTCTATGACTGCACTCAAGGCATCAGCTTGTAACATTGCCATCGCCATGGGTTTTTCTCTCAATCTTAGCTTAGAGAGAAGAACCGCCGACGCAACTGCAAGCTCATCATCCCTTCCCGCCTTCATGAGCGAAACCAGTTCTCGAACTGTTGTTGATCCCTTTGTTATCTCTTCGGTGACATCAGCAGACCCAGTCTCATCTGATGCAATGCTTGTCAGAAGTTTCATCGCAGCAAGCTTCGTCATTTTCCACTCCCCCGCTGCTTCAGCCACTTCGTTATCTGAAAGTAACATGGATACCAGGGTTTTCGGTAGAGAAGCCTCCCTCAAAATTGTCATAACCAGAGTACTGTGCATAGAGTCTATCAAACCCTTTAACAAACGCAAGACCTGTACTTTCACCTTTTCCTCCGTGAGCTGAACCATATCCATCAACTGGTACAGGTTCTCTTCACCGATATGCCAGTTGGCAACATCCATTGCTTCTTCCACCTCCTTATCGGCACCTCTATCCTTTGCGACAGCCTCCTCTGTGCTGTTTTGTGGATTTTCTGCTTCATCCTCACCCCTCATGAAACTATATTCCTCGTCTTCTTTTTGGAATTTCACCCCTCCCCCCCTGCTGCTCTGTTTGATATCTCCTTTCCAGAGCGGAGTCGCCGTCTGTTGCTTCGCACATATTCCAGGGCACTCCACCGTCGCATCCTCCAGGAGGTTTGCGAGTGTGGCTGCAGCAGTCTCTTTGAGGTGCATCGGTGTTCGTGGGGACAGCAAATACATCAGCACAGCTGGTACAGCACCAGCCTTCCAAATAAGCGGCTGAATCTTCACTGCCGAGGAGAAACCATGGATGACTTTAAGTGCATGCATCCTCTCGGGGGGCTTGCCTCGGCTCAGCACGTCTGCTACAGCAGGAAGAATCCCTCCATGAGCAAGCTCACTTTTGGTCTGATCCATCAGCTCCATGTTTGACAGCTCACACAACATCTTCGCACGTGACTGCATTGAACCTGGTACACATCCAAATTCATTGCCAACCTCCATACACGTCAGCGACAAGTGACTTGAACAGACTGACATGATGCTGATAGTACAACCGCAGTATGACAAA